ATGGCACTTTAGGTTACTTAAGGCCACTGACACTTCATGACACTTTAGTACACTTTGACAACGTAGAACAATTCATGACGCTTTAGTACACTTTGGTAACTTAGGACAATTCATGACACTTCTGGCACTTCATAGCACTTTTTCATTGTACACGACACTTGTTAGACTTAAAGGCACTTTATGAGACCTACTGGCACTTAAAATACTTAATATAACATTTGGATATTACATGAATCAGTGTGACATAACGTGACACTTTATGGCACTCTAACACCTGATGCCACTTTACGACACTTTATACCACTCTTATGAAACGTATGGGTATTTTTGGCGCCCACGATTACTTTGTGACACTTATAAGTCTTCACGGCACAAACACTTAACACCACTTACAAAATTTCATAACATAAACACTTTACAACACTTATAAACACTTTACTTATGAACACGTTATGATACATGTGATTACTTTCGCTATATCCCTGAAATTTTTATGGCACTTAAAATCACTTTAGAAACTTAAGAACACTTTGAGACACATATAACTACTTATAAACACGACACTTATAAACACCTTGTGACGCTCGCAAACACTTCATGACACTTACAAACGCTTTACTACACTGTCGAACACTCTACGATACTTTGCAGTCCTCGTCAATTTCATTCTCTTCACCGGCTAATTGTTTATCTAGAAGCCTTCGTGTACGTCCTTACCGGCACTAAGGCAGAGACATCACTGACGTACACTGCGTTGTGACCATGACGTCATAAAAACGTTTTCTTTGTTAAATGTGATACAGATATAGAATATCGTAACAATTAATTTCCTTTTCACTATTATTATGCTTATATATAGTATGAAATATTGCACGATAGATTCTTTAAACAATTCAAAAATCAGGTGGGGCAGTACAGTATTATATTGAATAAAAGAGATAAAAAGAGTTCAAGAAATAGAAGATGGAGTGATACCACGGGTGAATATCATAGAAAATGCACTGTTAAAAAGGATAACTATTATAATTTATATATAATTTAAAAATGTCTGATAAAATAATAACAAATAAAGACATAACAGTAAAGGACTCACCGAAAATCGATGTATAACGGCGTTTACATGGTTTTGACAAAGGCTCTGTAGTGAAAGTTATATGACAGGCACTGAACTTAAGGCGGATTCAGCGGGGCATCCCCCTTTTCATCAGTAAACTTCAATACTTTTCCTTATTGCAGTATTGTACTCAGGCATTTTTGTATAGTATAAACTAATTAATATTGACCTCAGAATATCCCCTAATATCAAGTGCATATGGCTTCAAATGGCCTCAAAATGCCCATGATATTGGTCAGATTTAAAAAAAAAATCTGGGGAGGGAGAGGGCTTACAGCTACCCCCAGATGGATGGACTCGCTTTGCTGGCCAGGTTCCCACACCCAAAACTTCTTGGACCCTCCCCCTTTTGATATTTCAGGATCCACCCCTGGAACTCAAACATGGAATAGGACGAAATGACTGTCTTTGTGTTCCTAGTAGACGTCATCCTCTCGTGCCAACTCATCATAAAGCAGTATTGCTAAACTATCAATCTTAAAATGAAGGAAATCAAATAAAATACCTTCATAATTATTCTATATCATTTTTATTTTGCATTTGACCCTCCAAAAGGCCTAATTAACAATTTCGGTATTTTTCCGACGGGCCACCGGGACCGGTACAGTGACGTCACAGTCTACCGACAACGTCATCGAATTTCATTTTTTTATCGTCTAGCAGACGAATTTCCGTCAAACGGCAGCACGCAGCGTACGTCATGTCTTGTCAGCGGTCTCTGTTGACATTCTCATAAATCCGAAACCGCGAAACGAGACAGTTTCAAGACTTGAGCGAACCGGCCAAACCTCGTCCCAGTGATATATTTTGTCATGTTCGTAACCAAAACAAATGCATGAATAGCTTTTAGAAACAAATAAAATAAATTTAAAATTTTATTTATCCATGCTAACCTGTTCTGGGGTAAGACTTAACTTTACATCTTGGGTGACCAACGATTAATTGCCTGGTTTGTGTGTGTCTGGAGGTGCGGAGTTGCCGGTTAGGAATTTCGAAGTCGCCAGTCTATATTTAAAATAATTTCACAGCTTCACCCTTCAAGGGTTTTGTAACTGGTTGTGTGGCTTATACGTGGCGTGGACTGTACGTGTGTTAACCGTTACCTAGGTCATAATTAATTCCTCCTCATTCCCCTCATATAAATTAGAAAAAAATAATGTTAACATATGCTAATGGGTTTCACAATATCATTAACATTTCATTAGAAAGAAATTAATACGTAAGTGTAAGCCGATGGTGTTCCCGCGAGGTTCTGTTTATTGAATGTGTTTGTTTTCTAACCCGTGGAAGGTTGAGAGAATTTGTTGACGTACTTAAGTGTACTAAAATAATGACTTGTTTATACTGTAACTTGTTTTGTTTACGCTTACATTATAGTATACATATTGTCTTCACTTCTTTGTTTTCTTGATTTATGGAAAAAATTCTGAAACCCTTTAACAAAAAAGTACTTTGATTTTCCTTTACTTACGAGTATATTATGTATCTATTTATGTACCCACTGTAACGCAATTATCATCTCCACTACTTTATTTCATCTAATTATTCTTCTTTGTGGAAATAATCCGCAAAACCTTTAATAAGTTCGCGGAATAGTTGGAGAAATTATGTAGGTTCCTCCCATCAGTAGTATCCCGAATTGGGATTAGAAAGTCGTCCTTTTTCGTCAGTCATTGTTTGTTGTTTCTCTTCGTCTATTTTCATTATCACTGTTCTCTATGACCTATGACACACTCCGTATTTCTAAACCACTGTAGTTTAGAATTGAGTGAGAGAACGGGATGGAGAACATAAGATGATTGACAGCAACTTGATTGAAAATATGTAGATTTTTGAGCCAGAAGAAATATTCCAAAGAAGAGAAAAAAAGACGAAGTGAGATGAGAACATAATTAAACAGCAAAGGTACTTGATGTGAAGGTACCAAAAAAACCCCATGATATCTCTAGTCTGTTTTTATAATTATTAATGTGTTTAGACTGACGATACAACGATAGGAAGCCATAACAAAGAGAACGAGAGATAGATATAGAGAAAAGTAAGCGAATAATATTAGAATATGTAAATGGGTTTCACAATACTATTATGATCTCATTACAGTAAAATTAATAGGTAAGTGTAAGTCGATGGTATCCAAAGAGGTTCACGCTATTGAATATTAGACTAAAACCTTTTATTATGGTAGTGGAAATGCTATGAGATGTTTGTTAAAGTAGCCTATTTCAATGAGTAAATATTATGTTACTTTAGACAGATATAGCACCTCTATATACGTATTTATATTACCACTGTAGCCAATTTGTTTCTCAAGTTTTTTCGTATTCTTCTTTCAGTAAATTATCCACATAACTTAATGTCTTGGAATCTAGAAAAAAAAAGCATCTTTATAACCCACAACAAAACAGTATCTAGATTGTTTGTAAATCCTTAGTGTTTTTCTGTTCTTACGTCGCAGCCTAATTATTATCTTTAATTCTCCTTCCACTTGCTTTTGTGGAAATAATTATCAAAACTTGTAATAATTTCGTAAAATATAATGAGAGTAATTTCCATATGGTAATAATGTCATCAGGTTACCAGTACTTCTACTTACCTGAGTGTTGGCATAAGTACAGACTCAATCCTTCCCAGGTGGTGATAGCATCTTTATGGTGGTACTTGACGCTAGATGTGCATATAATTGTACCTGAATAACTACTTAACCTGGCTATAATACATATAACAAACGCATCAGCCTCTATCATTACCATCTCTAGCACGTCGTAGTAGTTACAAAGCTGTGTTATTGCTGTATAGCCTTGTTTACATTGTGATCCAGGTATTTGTCTATACTAACTGTGGCCCATTTATATTCTCTCAATCTTACTATTCACCTGATTTGTCTGCATTGTCTTTTACAACCTATTTATTCCTTATTCTCTTTCTCCATCTCTTCCTTTTTCTTTTATCTTGAATTTGAAGGATATTACATCACAGTTATCTATGCCCTATGACACTCCGTATTTCTAAACCACAATAGTTTAGAAATTACTGAAAGAACGGGCTAGGGACCACAAGATGATTGACGGTATTTTGTTGGAAGATAAGTTCACTTTTGAGCCAGAGGAAATATTCCAGCCGGGAGGAAAAGGAGGATGTTAGGTGAGAACAGGAGTTAATTAAAGACTGCAGGTATAACATGTGAAGGTGAGGAGGCAGAAGCTCTCTAATTGGTATTCATATTTATCAAGGAATTTTGGTACTGAGAGGAGGTGTAAAATATATTAGCATTCCATATAGCGCAAGGTAGAGTTAAGAGAGAGAGGGAGAGAGGGAGAGAAAGAGAGAGAGAGAAAGGGAAAAGAATTCTATTGAGATATGCAAATGGGTTTCACAATATCAATAACAATCGCATTACAATGAAAGTGATAACTGTAATTGTATGTCGAAGGTATCCAGAGAGGTTCATGTTTATTGAACACGGGACTAAAGTCTTTTATTACGGTCGTGTGATACTGAGAGAGAGCGTGAATATGTTGATGGTTTATAACTACACAACAACTTTTTATATGCCTACTTGTTCATTTTTACACTGTAGCCAGTATATTTTTTTGTTTTTTCTTCGTATTCTATTTTGGAATTTATCCGGGACAGATATTTTCAACATTTCGCGGAATATCTGAGGAAATTCTTTCGATGCTCTTCAACGAACGAATATATTTCGTGTTGTGTTTTTATGCACCAGCCTAATTACCATCTCATATTCTCCTTCTTCTTGTTTTTTGTGGAAATAATTCCCTAAAATTTTAAGAAATTCGCAGGTTAGTTGAGAAAATTCAGCTGGGTCCTCGCAGTAGCCGAGTGACTCTAGAATTCGAATCAGTGGCAGTACAAATTCAGATGTAAACAATAGATGGAGTAGTTTCCATAAGGTCTAAGTGCAGTACAGACTCGTTTTTTTTATTCAAGTATTCGTCAGTTGCGTTTCTCCAAGTCTTATTACATTGGGCTTTTAACTTCTAATAATTATTTACATATTTCTAACATTATTTTCAGTGTAATATCTATCTTCTGTTAGTTCATTGTCCCTCGTGTCATTACAAGAATTTCTAACCAATATTATCAACATCGAGGACCAGATTACCTTCACACTGCAGCTGGTGATTCTTCTTCCAGTTTCTCAGAGTTGAGTTGCCTATGGTCAAGATCAGATGATTTTTAATGAATTTTTGTCTAATTTATAAAAAGGATTATATGTCATTACCTCCATGGTGGCCCCATTACCGTCATATTTTTACTGTAAACTCAACCTACGATCCATCAGACCTAATTTACGTTTGATTGCTGTGTGATAATCATAGATGGATTATGTTGTCTAGACCACAGTAATTTAGAGCTGGCTGAGAGAACGGGTAAGGGAACATGAAGATGATTGACGGCATGTTGGTGAAAGAGATGCTAATTTTTTGAGCCAGAGGAAATAGTCCAGTGGTGTGTAAGAGAGGAATTAGGGAGGGAACAAAGTTAATTAAAGAGGAGAGGTATGTGATGTAAAGGTACAAAGACAGAGAGAGAGAGAGAGAGAGAGAGAGAGAGAGAGAGAGAGAGAGAGAGAGAGAGAGAGAGAGAGAGAGAGAGAATAAACACTAAAAAAACATGTTAATGGGCTTTACAAGTTCATCAACATCTCATTATAGTAAGTTAATGACATCCCACGAGGTTCACCTTATTGAAAGTGAATCCTTTTATTACAGCCTTAGTTGATGTATCCCTGTGAGCGAATATATTGTATACTGTATTATTACCTTGGACGTTACTGGCATTATAATTACATTTACTCATTCATCTGTATTCTAAAATCAGTTTATTTCATTAGTATTTATTCGTCTGTTTGTAAATGATCCATAAAATATTAAATAATGTACGAGAATACTTAAGGTAATTACAGTATATTGATGTCTTTGAATAAACTACTTTTTTTTTATTATAAGTTATATTTTTACGCTTCAACCTAATTACCACCGCCACTTCTCCTTCTCCATGGGCTTGTGGGAATAATCCTCAAACTTTAAATAAGTTCGTAGAATAGTTGAGGAAAATTTTTGCTGGTTCTTCCCTGGCGACCGAGTACCACCAAAATCCGTATCAGTCTGAAATTATAACAAGAATTTCAAGTACCATTATAAATTCTAATATAAACTACAGAGAGAGTTAATTCCATAAGGTAACAGTGTCATCAGAAAACTCAGTATAAGTATAAGTATAAGAATATTATGTTGGTATAAGTAGAGACTCAGTAACTCCCAGGTGGTGACATTATAAAGGTAGTTCTTGAGGCTAGATGTGAATATTAATGCACTAAAACACTACTAACATGATCAAACACACGTAACAATAGGGTCAGTCTCCTCCATCAATACCATCTCTAACACGTATAGTAGTTAGAAGAGCTAAGATTTATTACTGTGTCTCCAAAAGCCTTGTTTACATTGTGATCCAGGTTCGTACCTATACTTAACTACGGCTTAATTATCCTCTTCTTCTCCTTCTTCTTCTCATTCGTTCTTGTCATTTTTTTTATTATTTCTAAATATTCTCTTGATATATTTCTCTTAGAACTCCAATGATCCTCTTAGGTTAGGTTAGGTAAGGTTTGGTTAGGTTAGGTTAGGTTAGGTTAGGTTAGGTTCGGTTAGGTTAGGTTAGAACTGGCTGAAGGAGGACACATGATGAATGGCGGGAACTGGATGAAAGATTATGCTAATTTTTAAGCCAGATGAAAATTCCAGTCGGGGAAAAAAAAAAGATGAAGTCTGGTAAGAAAAAGTTGATTAAAGAACGGAGGCTTATCACACGATGGCATACACAATCAAAGAAGTATCTGGGGTCCGATGACTTTCAAAATGAACACTATGACTCCTGTTTTCTCGGTACAGTTGTCAAAATCCTTCGTCCGTTGTGTCATATTATTTCACACAAAATAGGAAAGATATGTTAACGAGACACTCTGTACTGTGTGTATATTCTGAGGATTCGCATGAGTCGAGAGAGGAGAGAGACAGACAGACAGACAGACAGACAGACAGATAAAAATAGAGTGAAGTACACCAACTCGCCAAGCTACTCTGAGCACAATAATATCCAGGAGTGTGTTGTGCTCAGAGCATTAAAAAAAAGCATTAGTTTTTGAGATGCAACACGACTCGGTTCAGAGGAGTAAAACAGACAGACAGACAGACAGACAGACAGACAGACAGTGAGATCCGTGGTACAATCTATTCTGTTATTCTCTTTCAGGAAGGATTGGAGGACGCACATCTCCCTGTTTCTGGTTAAGAGGCGAGACTAGGAGAAGTGAGGAGACGTCTCTTTCATCCATCATTATCTCCGCTTGTCCTCCTGCACAGGTGAGCTCTGAGCTATAATTGGCAGGTGTGGTCTAGATGGTAGGGATGAGGGGATGGGGGTTACAGCTGTGTGGGGGTGGGGAGGAGGCTTTTATTTGGAGAAAGGTTCATTAAAAGGATTTGTTGTTCGATGTGTGTGTGTGTGTGTGTGTGTGTGTATGTGTGTGTGTGTGTGTGTGTGTGTGTGTGTGTGTGTGTGTGTGTGTGTGTTTGTAGTTATATGCGTGTGTACCTGCGAGACAAGTCACCCACCTAGTTAATGTAAACCAGATGAGCAATCCATTACAATCCTTCAGTTCATAATTCACAAGAGGCTCACCAAGTCAACTCACCTAGCTCATGATACTCGGCACCTTAAGAACTGACTCTCTTAACAAAACCAAACTCTCTTTAACAATAACCTAATAATATTTTTCACCGCTATTATCATAATAGTCTGCCATAATTAATGTTTAGAGATTCTAATATTCACCAGGTAGAGACATAATTCAAATGAAGCAAATTATCTTTTTCGTAGTGATTAAAGACAGGTAAGCTCGTCTCTCAACTGGTTGGGGGGGGAACTGTTTGTGGTGTCTGTGTGTGTGTTTGTCGATCTGGTTTTGTGTGAATATATATTTGTGAATGTGTATGTTTAAAGTTATGTACCCATGTGTATATATTTACTTATCGGTATATATGTGTGTTTATGTGGGTTCATGTGTTTATATATGCAGCATATGTATGTGTGTGTATGTGTGTGTGTGTGTGTGTGTGTGTGTGTGTGTGTGTGTATGCGTGTTTTTAAGAATATAATAACCTAGTAGTTGTAATATTAGTAACAGCAGTTGTAGTAATAGTAGTAGTAGTAGTAGTAGTAGTAGTAGCAGTAATAATAATAATAATAATAATAATAATAATAATAATAATAATAATAATAATAATAATAATAATAATAATAATAATAATAATAATAATAATAATAATAATAATAATAATAATAATAATAATAATAATAATGAAGAGGATATAAGTCACTATACTTTTCAAACTTTTAAATCCTCTAGTTATCCTCACCTCTGATTGATGATAGTTTGCCTCAGATGTTGCAACTGACGATAACAAAGGGTAGGTTAGTTGGGTAGTGAGCTTCAGTGATGGTGTTGATGTAATTTATCCATTAATTTCTACGTCATCCACAGTAAAGGCTTCAGTCCAGGGATACCGAACCCTCGAACCATCCACTGTACAAACAGACGCATTGTAGAGTCAGTATTTGTGTAGGTCTTGATGTATTCTCTCTGTAAATGGGTAGTCGAGGGTGTGTACAGTACTGTGGTCAATAGGTGAAGTGATTGGTATGGTAGATTCTGGTCTGCTAAATTGGTGTGGATGAGGTCAAGATAGTTTTCACCGTAGTTAGGGAAGCTTACGGCTGTTCCTGGAGGTTCGTGGTATCAACATAGTTTATATCACCACAAAACATTAATTTATAACACGGGTACCTAACTTTGTGGGTGTCAAGAGCTTTTAATGAGGTGGTTAATGAGTATGTGTCTCAGGTAAGGGTGAAATACTACCCAGCAGATAATGGAAGCGACAATTAGTGTGTAAGATAACATGAACCCACGCTTCCATACCATCTGAAGCTTCAACATTATGTGTTTGTGTGTGTTTGTGAGAGAATCGTATTTTTGTTGTGTAGGTGTGAGGATATCCGCGTGTGGGCGAGGCACTGACGAACAGCCACTGAGGGACGGAGAGAAACAAAATATATATGATGAGACCTTGGATGGAAAATGAGGAGGTAAAATAAAAATCATAATGAGACGCGGCGGACGAGAAAACTTTCGTGGAAAATCTTAGATCTCCAGAGAGGATAAACCGCTGAGAGCTTGAGTAATAGCAAGCATAGAGTAAAAAGTAAAGAACATGTTTTAGAGTAAGGGTAAAGAACACGTGTTATAGTGAGGATATAAAACACGTGTTACAAAAACATGTAGACTAAGTTTTAAATTTAGACCAACACACTTAACCCGTTTTACAGCAAATATCAAGAAAGCACTTTGCAGCAACCACAGAGAGCACTTGTTTAACCAAGCATAGTTAATACGTTTTAAAATAATCCGAGAAAAACTTGTGTTACAGCAAAGATACAGAAATGAAATATGGAGAATCTATAAATCTGTTGGAAGGTTTGCCCCTCCTTCCTACCAGGCTGTCGGTACAAATGACAGTATGGACGGGCGGTACTAGAGGCTGGGGGAGACAGGCGGCTACACATCACAACTTTACTCTCAAACTTGTCATTTTGAGGTTCTCCCCCCCCCCCTAAAATACGAATATTAAAGATATATGTTTATGTCTTAGTTGTTACGTTTTGTTATAATGTTCTAAATTTGTGTTTTGTATTCGTGTTTACATTTCATGATATTAAAAAATCGTCAATTTATATTTTACTGTTAATATTCTGTGTTTATATTCTTTAATTTAAGGATTTGTAGTATTGTATGATAATTTTTTTGTGGTTTGTTCTGGAACTATTTCACAGTCTAGATCATGACGTACGTTCCTCTTGTCCTTTCCATTAAAGCTGCGACAGAACAGACCTGTTCAGAGTGTTTCTCTCCGCGTTACACTGACACCCTTCTGGAGTCACGCCTCATTGAACGCTCGACCAACTTTCTGCCTTCAGTGACGCTCTTTTATAGGACGAGAAATGACTCGTTTACGGACTTTACGCCAGGCGAATGTTCGCTCACCTTTCTTTATCTGCAATAACGCTCATTTATGATATGGGCAATAACATAATTTTTTTAAACCTGCAGCAGACGAATGTTCGACCTCTCGTGTTTTTCCTATGCAACGAGGACACGTATTGTAGGAGCTACAGAAGAGTAAACGGCGTCCCCAAATGAGAGACGAAGTGAGACATCAAATTGGAACTAAGAGAGGCACCAAACACTAAATAAGTCACCAAGAGTAGCGTCAAGCATCAATAGAAGCACCAAGTAAAACATCAGACACAAATAAAGGCAGCAGGCAGCATGTGAGGCACCAATAGAGGCAGCAGGCAGCATGTGAGGCACCAATAGAGGCAGCAGGCAGCATGTGAGGCACCAATAGAGGCGGCAGGCAGCATGTGAGGCACCAATAGAGGCGGCAGGCAGCATGAGGCACCAATAGAAGCAGCAGTCAGCGTGTGAGGCACCAATAGAGGCAGCAGGCAGCATGTGAGGCACCAATAAAGGCAGCAGGCAGCATGTGAGGCACCAATAGGGCAGCAGGCAGCATGTGAGGCAGAGACACCAATAGATGCAGCAGGCAGCTTGTGAGACACCAATAGATGCAGCAGGCAGCTTGTGAGGCACCAATAGAGGCAGCAGGCAGCATGTGAGGCACCAATAAAGGCAGCAGGCAGCATGTGAGGCACCAATAGAGGCGGCAGGCAGCATGTGAGGCACCAATAGAAGCAGCAGTCAGCATGTGAGGCACCAATAGAGGCAGCAGTCAGCGTGTGAGGCACCAATAGAGGCAGCAGGCAGCATGTGAGGCACCAATAGAGGCAGCAGGCAGCATGTGAGGCACTCTCCGAGAGGGCCATCACGGGAGTAGGGTGGCTCTCGGTAATAAACCTTTACGAGTCTCAGCGGTGACCTCTGGCCTGACCACCTCGGCTCTTCCACTACCACCGCTATTGCTTACCAGGTCATCTCTCTCTCTCTCTCTCTCTTTCTCTCTCTCAGGGATGTCTTATACATTAAAAATTCAGAATTTGATAAGTATGTTGAAAATTTTGCAAATATAATCTGCATAGTATCTGGTTGATAAAGTTGTGGATATTTTTAAGCAAATGATACGAAGCTTCGACAACAACAACAACAGGAGGAATTAAATTCGATCAAAGATTAAGTCTCGTTAAAGGTGGAAGAGGCTAGCGGGGGGTTTAAGCCGAAGACGAAGAACGACTAAAGTTAAAAGGAAGGTTAATAAACGCGATGGACGGAGGGTGAGATAACAACAACAATTACCAAGTCCTCTCGTCTCTTACTAATTACAGCTGTTAAAGACTTGTCGAGAGATAATTGAACGAGAAGACTGTAGGAGCCACCCCAAGCTGCAGGGAGTCACATTGTCCAAGGTTTCCACGTTATAGCTTGCTCTTCATTGATAACGTGTCTAAGAGGCTTAATTAGACCATGAAAAGGAGATAACGACCCATTGTGGCATTGAAATGGCGCTGAAACTTATCCTCTTATCTCCAGGCAGAGGAAAAACTAACGTACAAATGCTTGAGACTGAACACTAGACAGAACATAACGAAGCGACAAGACCCCTTGCAAATTCGACACCAAATTGTCCACTGTGCGTGTGCCTTACCCATTATTGGGCCAGACAAGTTGTCACACCTCGGCTGGGGACGGTGGGAACGCAACGGGCAAACCTTTGGCATTCTTTGGTCTGTTTTTGTTGTTGTTGTTGTTGTCGTTGACATTTTAAAAATAATAGGTTCGTCAAAATTAATACGAGCTATTTAAATTTTTTCCAACCCTTTAAAGACCAAAATAAAACACACACACACACACACACACACACACACACACACACACACACACACACACACACAACCTATGAATCAATGCCATATATCAAACCTGTGATTTATCTCTGTATGGTCAGAATGTAAACGCTGGAATTTACATTAAAACTGTTTTGTTTATTCATAAGCTGAAGGTGTCTTATAAGATTCCCTAAATATAGATTAACAGTTCAATAGGAGGAGAATTAGACTGTGAAAACATCTTAAACCCGAAAGGGACGACATATAAAACGGAGAATATATCATAAGACCTTGACAAAAGAATCATTGGATCGAATGGTTTAGTGATACAGGTCATAGGTACAAGTCATATTGTAGTATTTGTGGGGCACCCTAGTAATTTCTAACACTCACCTTGTGTCTTAAAGGTTACTTGTTCGCTCTTGGGGCAACTTTAGTCAACTGAGCTCTGAATGGGTAC